CAGGACGAAGGACAGCCGCAAGGTGAGGGCCGAGGAGTCCATGTTGCTACTGCCGCGGGCTGAGAAGGCTTAGAGGTTTAGGGGTTAGGGTTTAGGGTTTAGGGTTTTGGAGGTTTAGGGTTTAGGGTTTAGGGTTTAGAGGTTTAGGGTTTTGGAGGTTTGGAGGTTTGGGGTTTGGGGGCTTAGGGCGGGCTCAGAAGGGGTAGAGGTTTAGGGTGTAAGGTGTAAGGTTTTAGAGGTTTAGGGGTTAGGGTTTAGGGTTTAGGGTTTTGGAGGTTAAGGGTTTTGGAGGTTTAGGATTTCGGGTTTAGAGGTTTAGGGTTTACAGGTTTTGAGGTTTAGGGTTTAGGACAAAGCCTAAACCCAAATCCCAAACCCTGAACCCTAAGCCTACATCCGAAAACTTTCGGGTTGAAAGGTCATAGGCTGGATGACTAATACTAGAAGCCCGAAAGTTGGAACACGGGTTTAGTGGGAGTCGTGCTAGGATCCCTTATGCTTAACCTTAAGAGCATGAGGAGAATAACGTTCCAACTTTCTGGGTTCTACTTTAGGGGCCCTTGGTTATTAGACTAGGCCTTTGAAGTATATTATTCTGAATTCATAAGAAACCCCCAAAACATTCTAGGTAACTATTAAGGCCTCCAAAGCAGAGGTTTGGGACTCAAGGCTTTTAAGATTTTTTGAGGGTTCTTTAGGGTGTTTTCGGGTTCAAGCGTGCGGGGTTTACGGTTGTTGGGTGATACAGAGGGTTTTGCTGGCATGGGTTGGGGCTGGAGGTTTTGGGATTGAGGGATGTGGGGTAGTTTAAAGACGGTCTTAGAGGATTGAGTGCTCGAACCATACGAGGACTTGCTAGGCCACCTTAACGTAACTTACGAACCGTTCAGGCCCGGGTGTTGGAGAGCTTTTTTGTGTTTTTGGGGGTTTAGGGTTTGAGGGTTTCGGGTATAGGCTTTTCTTTCCACCAATGAAGGGGTAGAGAGCGTTGACGCCAAGGGTTGGGCGTTCTGGTTGAAGTTTAAGGGGGGAGTTTAGCGGTCAGGTGCCTTTGTGCAGCTTTTCACAGCGCTCAACACTGACAACAATACCAGCACAACTAGAGTCTACCCAAGACCGCACAAGCTCCCACCAACTTCTAAATTGCTTAGGCAAACCTATACTTACTTCCCCAATAAGCCGGGGAAATAAAAGGTTAAACCTTCAGATTATCACTAAGCTATAAGAACCCACACAGTTTAAAGTTTGGGTATTGAAGAACTGAGGCTTTTGTCAGACATTCCTTTTCATCTACATCATCACAACATGTGCAAACACCAAAAAAACCCACTTCTTGAGTTGACTAGTGAGAGTAGCCGGGGTCAGCACTCCAGGTATGCAGCCTGAACCCAAAACCCCACAAAACCCTACCCTAAGAAATAGTATGAGTACTTATTTCGGCTCCCTAAACCCTAAACTCTTAAACCTAAAGCCTAAACCCTAAAGCCCTAAACCCCTAAGCATCTGGAGGAGTGCCGTGACCTTAGCATCGGAATTCGTGAGGGCAATCCGCGCGGCACACTGAGTCTATGCCTCCTGCATCATCCTCTGCTCAGCACCGGCTCCATAGGAAGGGTTAGGATTTAGTGCTCCTTGAAGGGATCTGCAAGGGGCTCCTTAAAGAGCCATCCAGTCCAAGACCCGGCCCAACTGGGACCGGATCTCAGCAAGCTCCTGCTCCAGTCCAGCCAGGCGGCCGTCGACGCGCCCCAGGCGAGCGTAGAGGTCCTGGTTGAGGTCACGTTGTCCCCAGGAATGCCACGAAAGGTCGCCATAGCGGGTTTGATTGCTGGACCGCAAGTCATCCAACTCATGCTGTAGTGCGTCGCATCCCCGGCGCAAGTACTGCAGCTGCGACTCCTGCCAGTCTGGGGTGCGAGGCAACGGACATCTCGAACGAGACCGGGACATACGAAGGGCTTTCTCAGGGGTTCAGGGTGTCGCGGAACCCAACACCATATTCATCGCCTCACCCACTCCAGGCCGCTTATCCTCCCGCGTATTCACGCGGACGTACTCATTGGTGACCATTGCTCCACGGTTCTTGTGCAGTTTCGAGCAGGAGCTGGCTGTTTCGGTAAAGCCCTTAAACCCCAGACTCCATTATCCCTTGGTTAAGGAATATTCCTCAAAATATAGAAGGAACCTTAATATGATTTAAGGTATACTCCTTAATTAAGGGATATTGGAGTCTCTAGGAACGTTAAGCCCCGACCCTAAACCCTAAACCCTAAACCCTAAACCAAAAAAAACGATGAAACGACCGAAGGACGAGCCTCACCGTCCGAGCGATCTGCCGAATGTGAGCATCTGACTTCGCCATAGCCTGCAGGGTTTAGGGTTTAGGGTTTAGGGTTTCCTTTAAGTGGTCCAGTATATAGGGGTGGCTTTCATAACAACACGGCTGGCCGGTTCTAGGCGTTTTGTCTTAAGCCCTAGACCCTAAACCTTATAAGTTTTAGGGGTTCCGGTGGTTTGGGTTTAGAGGTTATCGGGTCTTGGGCCACAAGGTGTGGGCTTCGGCCCTGGGAGTTAGGACGTCTGGCGTTTCGGAGGGGCTTCGGGGGGCATGGGGTTGGGGATGAGGGCTTCTAGAAACCCTAAACCCTCAACTCGAAAACATAAACTCTAAACCCTAAACCCGAAACCATAAACTCTAAACCCTAAACCCTAAACTAGAAACCCCAAATAGGTGGGAGGCATGGGCTTGGGGCTGAGGGTTTTCAGAGGCCTAGGGCTTACGGATTTAGGAGATTTAGGACTTTGGGCTTGGGTTTAGGGTTAAGGGTTTAGGGGTCATAGATCATGGACAGGTTGCCTAAGGTGAATGTGAGATCTTGTAACGTGATTGTGACATCTTGGTATAAAGATGATGGTGGTTTCAGGCCTCACCGCGAGTTCGCTGTCACAAACAAGATCAACCCATTGATTACGGTAGGACTTTATGGTGAAATGTTAGCTGCTCAGCTACTGAGAAAGCGTGGGGAGGGCCAGCAAGTTTGAGGCAGTCTCTTCAATCACACGCTGGTCTTACATGGACCCCAAATCTGTTCAGGCAACGCTTTAGAGATACTTGAGTCGATTCAAGAACCGAAGCCCTAAACCCTAACAGCCACAAACCTAGCATGCCGGCAATGGAGTTGATCCCTACGTAAACCTCACCTGACCCAAAAAACACGCCGGAAAAAATAACATGTTTTTTGGGCTCCTTTGTGTGATGTGCACCAGAATTCCCTCAAGAAGTCGCGCCTGCTTCCTGGAACTCTGGGACAGTTAGTGACCGGAACATATAAAGGGTTCAGGGGTCAGGGTTCAGAGACATTCTAATCTAGCGTGCATCCCGACAGCATGCGTTACAATGCTTTGTCCGTTTTGGTGGTGTCTTCACGCTGGCTTTGCCAAGGCTTCGTGGTGTTGTACATAGGTTTCGATCTTATGCGTTCTTTAAAGATGGGGCTTATGAGGTTTCCGGGGTGTAGTATATGGGGGCTTTCACAGGTTGGACTAGTGTTTCGGGCTAGATTTAGGAAGTACATGATATATGGACTGTTTTGGGTTTAGGGTTTAGGGTGTGGGGTTTATAAATATATGCACCTTTGAAGTTCGAGGACCCGACACCTGCAGCCTTTTGTCCCTCAGAGCTCGTCTAAGTTGTCCGGCTCCCTGGCGGCTGACTGCGGATCTTTGGTGCCTTGGCAGATCGTATATACATATATGTATATAGAATTACATATATATATATATGTATAGACATATATATATATATTATATATATAAACTGTTGATGATATAAATCTTGCATTACCTTAAGGACCCTAAACTAGGGAAATGATACTATATTCTTTATGCTGGGTAATGCAGGATTTGTATCATCAACCGTATTATACTAGACATAATATTGGCTGACCTCTGAACCCCTCCTAAAAGTCAAACTTTTAGCCTCCTTATTGTAGTTCATATAGAAACCCAAGAGGCTAAAGTCCTAAGAGCCAACCAGAAGAAGGCCAAGTAATGCATCTACATGTTGTTTAGGAGTCAGGGAATAACCTAAACCCAAACCCCTAAACTCTAAAATAATCTCTCAACCCTGAGCACCACCAGCCGTTATCAGGTCTGAGGAGTTCATCGGCTCAGTGTTTATTCAGGGCTAAGATCCGAAGCCGTAAGACTTTCGCGCTGAGTTTTTTTAAATTCCTGCAGGTAAAAGCCCGAAAATGAGGGGGCTTGTCGGTAGAATCGGATCTCTATAAAGCTTTATATGGGGGCCTTAATGACTAACAAAGGGTCGTGGGGGGATGTATCTAGTAGCATCGTATGAGAACTACAGTAGCAAGTTTTAATTTGTTCATTCAAACCTCTTCTGTATGAAGCAACTAAAAACACCAGAGTGAACCGTAAACCCCTATCAAACCCGCTTGTGCTAGCTAGGGGTGCCTGAGTCACCCTAAACCCTTGAGCCCTAAACCCCTAAACCCTAAACCCTGAAACCCTAAACACACTTCGGTTTCCTCAACCTTGACCTACTGAGAATGAAAAAGTAAGCAACAACCATCCGAAGCAGGCTATAGGGGCTTCCATCAAGGGTTCTATAAGGGCTTAGGGTTGCTTCAGGGGTTTAGGCGCTTAGGCCCAGTGAGTTTTAGTCTGTTGTTGTATATTATAACAGAACCTGCCTGACTTCTGAACCCCTCCCAAAAGTTTAACTTTCAGCACCAGAAGAAACCATGTAGGCTACACCCGGAACCCTCAAGCTGAAACTCTCAAGACCCTGAATCCCAAAATCTAATAATGTAGGGGCCTTAATACTTAGAATAGGGTTTTGGGGCCCATTATACCATAATTATGATAAGGAACCCCCAAAATAGTATTAGCAAAAATGTGGGCCCCTACAGTAGTATAGAAACCATAAGGGAATCCTCAGAGCAGCCCAGAAAGAGCTCCGGGTGTCCTTGCTTTTTTCCTCAAGCTGGCAGACTCTTGGCATGCAAAAGCAGTAGCGGATCGCCCGTGCAGGGTGCAAACTTGGCAATCAGCTGTGTCTTTTGCTCCTCGGCAGGTGCTTTTGAACCCTAAAGCAAAGTGCCCAACAGGTTTTAGGATCTAGGGTTTAGGGTTTAGGCTTTGGGGATTTTGGGTTTAGGGTTTAGGGTTTTGGGTTTAGGGTTTAGGGTTTTGGGTTTAGGGTTTAGGGTCTTGGGTTTTGGGGTTTCGGGTTTAGGGTTTTGGGCTTAGGCCCTGGAACCGGGAGCAGACCTAGAGTTTCAAGAGTGCTCCGCGCATGAAGCCATAATGAAGTCATCTGGGTGACGTCAAGTTGCCCTAAGACCAAAGAATCACTACAGGGTTTAGGGTTAGGGTTTAGGGTTTAGGGTTTAGGGTTTAGGGTTTAGGGTTTAGGGTTTAGGGCACTACATGGGTGTTGGTGAAGCTTGAAGCCGAATCCCCACAGGCCGCAGATTCTCATCCATAACCCGAAGCCATGTTGCAGCCCAGGCTCAGCCGAACAGCCTGCAAAGTGTAAGATCGGATCGCCCCGAAGCAAAGAGAGATCGCCGCCACCTCGTGGCCACTCGTAGGCATTGAGCCTTTGCTTCCGTCTGCAAACTCCAAACTCCCCCAGTCCAAACCCTTATATAGAGGGTTTAGGGCTCAAAGGTTTAGGGATTAATTAGGCTTCAGGGTTTAGGGGTTTAGGGTTTAGGGTTTACGGGTTTGGGCTTTAGGGTGTAGGAGTTTAGGGTTTAGGGTTTAGGGTTAACGGGTTAACGGGTTTAGGCTTTAGGGTTTAGGGTTTACGGGCTTAGGCTTTAGGGTTTCAGCGTTTAGGGTTTAGGCTTTAGGGTTTAGGGGTTTTGGGTTTAGGCTTGAGGGTTTAGGGGCTTCAGGGTCAAACTGCAGTTTACGGGTTGCGAGTTTGGGTAGCCTGAGCCCTAAACCCAACCGACTACAGTCGGGTCTTGAGAGTTGAAAGACTTGGGGTGCAAGTGGCCACGGTCTAAGAGCACCCCGCGGCCCTAAACCCACATAGCCACAACTCCCATCCCAGGGTATAGGCTCAAGCTGAACGGGTAGAAGGATTAAGGCACTTAACCCCCAACGGCTTCAGGGCTTAGGGGTCGGTTAACGATGCAATAGCTTTACGGCTTTGGGATGGCAAGTTGTAAGGTTTGCTTAGCGTTGATGGTTTAGGGTTGCGAGTATGCCTAGAAGCAAGTGTTGCGGGACGACCTGGACGTGCTCCGCCACGCTGCGTGGTAGCAGCTGTGTCATGGCGCGGTGGCATTCTCCAGCGCTTCTGGTCGGTACCTTCGCGGCTTCAGGGCAAACAAATGACTTAGAGCTTGAAGGGTTTTGTACTTACTCTGAGTCTATTATGAATTAAAGGGAACTACAGGTGGGGGGTTTAGGGTATATAGGGCTTCTATAAGGCTTCTGTAAGGTATATAGACCTTCTATAAGACTCCTATAACGGTAACTACCCACCTGAAAATGTCCTAGAATGAAGGCCCTACATAACACCTAAGTCCTAAACCCCGAAGCCCCTTGATAACCATACCCACAACTTGAAGGAACTCCCACTTCCACTCAGTTTAGGGTTTAGGGTTCAGGGCTCAATGTGAGAGCCTTAATTAATAATTAAAATAGGGTTTTGGGGCCCTCTATACTATAATTTAACCAGGAACCCCCATAAATAATATAGGTAACTCTTAAGGCCCCTATTTTAGGCTTTAGCCAGTCTTGAGGCCCTGCATGACATGGTAAAACTTTCAAGTTACTACTAATAAGAACCCAATAGTTTGAAGGTTTTACTATTGGAGAACTGAGTAAAGCCCTATATAACATGCCCTAAACCCTAAACCCTAAACCGTTATTATGAGCCCTATTTTAGGCTTTAGCCACTGTTAAGGCCCTGCATAACATGCCCGCCTTCATGCGCTCGAAGGCCGTTCGCCAGCTACTGGGATCGTCTGCGCATCCCCCACCCAGCAGAATCATCATAGCGCCGTTATCTTCCCAATCCTTCGTCATTTAGGGTTTAGGGTTTAGGGTTTAGGGTTTGGGGTTTCGGTTTAGGGTTTAGGGTTTAGGGTTTAGGGTGTAGGGCTTAGGGTTTAGGATTGTCTTCCACATCCTTCCTTGTTAATTTGTGTGTTTCACAGCTACGGTTTACTTGTGGCATGTTTCGCCTGCAGACTGCCGTGACGCTGCCCTGAAACCCCCCAAACCCCAGAGGCACAAACCCTAAACCCCTAAACCCTAAACCCCTAAAGCCTTAACCCCAAACCCTAAACCCCTCAACCCTAAAGCCTAAACCCTAAGCCGACGTGAGCCCTAAAGCGTTGGCCCTTTGTGGGATAAATCCTAAAGATTAAACCTCTAAAGCCCTGACAAAGCAGCTAGGGTTTAGCGTTTAGGGTTTAGGGTTTAGGGCCTAAGCCTAAACCCTATTCGCAAATCTTAAACCCTAGCTTCTTTAAGTACTCTCTGGGGCCCTGACTTAGGGCTTAGAATGAGGCCTGAGCCCAAAATCTGAACCCGATCTGCTAAAGTCGTTGTTGGGAGATTCTGGCGCCATGTTGAAGCAACCAAACCTGTCAGCCAGGATTGGGGTAAAGTCGCTGTTGGCTTTTTAGGATTCCTGAATATGATGTCCTTATAACGATTTTAACAAAGTAGGTTCTTTGGGGTTAAAGGTACCTGACGCCCCACAACCTTTCTTAGGGAATGAGGGAATCCCAAGAAGCAACCCTACATATTAAGTTACAGGTCTCTTACTCTTAGTAACTTAGCTGCAGGCAACCGAAACCCCGAACGCACTGAACCAGGAAATCCTAAATCCTGGATCCCAAACCCTAAAGCCCTGACCAGCTAAACAAAAACATCCCGCGCAACCCGAAACCCCAAACCAAATAGCACAAAAGCCCAGAAATCCCTTGGCCCTAAACTCTGAACCCCAAACCCTAATCCTCGAACCCCATAAACCACAAATCCATAAAACCCTATAAAGCCCTAAACCCCCAAACCCAAAACCTATGAAGCTCTATGAAAACACCTTCCCCCCTAAACCCTGAACCCTAGTCCCCTAAAGCCAGCACCCATAAAGCTTTATATACCACCTCCCGCCTAAATCCTAAACTCTAAACTTTGTAAACCCCTATACACCCTGAACCCCTCTCTCAACCCTAAACCCCTCTCTAAACCCTAAACCCCTCTCTAAACCCCCAACCCCTCTCTAAACCCTAAACCCCCTAAACCCTGAGCCCTAAACCCTAAGCCCTAGAGACCCTGAGCCATGAGAGCCCCGAAGTCCGAAACCCTAAATCCCAAACATAGGTCTACTGTAGGGGTCTTAATAATTTCGATAGGGTTTAGGGTTTAGGGTATAGGGTCTTAGGGTTTAGGGTATTAGAATAATTTTAGGGGTTTAGGGTCTTAGGGTTATAGGGTTTACGGTATCAGAATAGGGTTTTGACTCCTTTATACTATTGTATAGTTATAATCAGGAATCCCAGCGGTAATAGTTGTTACTATTTAGGCTTCTATCCTTGGCATTCCTCTGGTTGGCTCTTAGGACTTTAACTTTCTGGGTTTCGATATGAACGATAATAAGTAGGGGAAAAGTTTAGCTTTTAGGAGGGGGTTCAGAAGTCAGCCAAGTATATCCCCAAGGGTCCAAGTACCGTTATAGTAGGTACTTCATAGGTATTTGGGCCCCCAAAGTATATACTAAATAATTTCAATAGGGTTTAGGGTTTAGGGTGTAGGGTATATAGAGTCTTAGGGTTTAGGGTAGTAGAATAGGTTTAGGGGCTTAGGGTCTTAGGGTTGTAGGGTTTAGGGTAGTACTTGGACCCTT